TGAAAGGATGAGTCAACACGGTACACACGCTACTTCTAAACAACAAGAGTGCAGTCAATCCTCCAGCCAAAACAAAAATCACGGCAAACGAGACTGACTCATATTTGAGTACCGTTCACTCAAACTTGCAAAAGCGTAGATCACTCGTGGAATGAGTAAATTTTTATCAAATATTATTAAATTTCACTCATATTTGAGTGACATTTAAGCATTTTTTTTTCCTTTGATTTGTTTTCCGTTCTGAGCACCAATGCTAACAACGCCAGGGAGGTAGCTCCCACACCTGGACCCTACCTATCGACTCATGAACCGGGGACCAACGACTTTACTTCCCTTCCTAAGGAAGGCGTGATCAGAGATGTTATGTCTCAGAACATCTCGGCGGAACCGACTGGGATTGAACCCAGTCCTACTGGGGTGAGAAGTAATCAAATTTTGACGTTTAATCGTCTTTCTCTAACTAGCACAAATAGATGAATGTACGGTTTGTTTTCCCACTAATCTGTTTCCATCTTGCTCGCACTCGTTCGATTTAATTGGTGCAGTAGTGTGCGCCGATTAAACGTCAAAAAGCTCTACGAGTGGCTTACGTGTTTGCAAATTTGAGTAATCGGGATTCTAATATGAGTCATATGCATTTACCGTGTAGGCCTTTCGAAACACTATCAAGCTGAACAATGCATGAGGTCCTAAGTAATATTGATCGGTTCTCCTCTACGACTTTGTCTTTCGTTAATAACTTGGCTACAAATCGTTTCTTTCCGTTTAGATAATAGCTTCTTTTATCGAACTTTGTGTTGAAAATAGCTGAAAGTGTCCATACATGGCCGTGGGGATGCATAGAGAAAATCTACTAAGAGAATCTGTCAATGTTACGTAGGAGCTAATGCATTGTTCGGCTTGCTGTTACTTGACTTGACAGTTCGTTATGTGTTTGATCGCTAGATGATCTATTTGGCTTTTGTTTTTATTGTAAAAGCATCCTGATTTATGTGCTTGTACTCGAAAAAAATGCACCATTTTTATCCGTGAGTAACTTTTTTATCTGTGGGAAAAAAATGATGAAAATTTGGGTATAACTAGTTTGGAGTGAACTTTTTACATGTGCAAAATTGCATAACAATCGGTTCAGTGGTTATTGAGATGTCATCGAAACAAGAAGAAAATCGCCGGAGAGTTTACCGCGCCGTCATGGAAAATCCGACTGCGACCATGAGATGGATCGGAAGACAACTGGGAATCACCCATACAACCAACAATCAATACGAAACTAACGATTTTAAATTGGCTCACTACTTGACTAGCCTATTGGTCCCAAGCAAACGATTAACGTATCCCATTCTAGTCGAAATTCTAGTACTACGCAATGTTTGTTTTGATTCGCTATGAAAGTTTGACAGGTAAAATGAGGGGTTATTGGTTTTTCCTATGTTTCGAGGGGTGAATCGATTAGCTTGGGACCGAAGAGAGTACCAGAGCTGAGCCAAAAAGTTGAGCACATTTCTTCGGGACCTTCTGGTCTTAGAGTTACCTCTATGATATAACTGTGTCTCGGGTGGTAAAATCGTTTAAGGAGTCCCAGACGACCGAGCGGTGGGCTGGAAGTGGAAGAAAATCGAAGACAGCTGACCCTGTGAAGGCCCGGAAGGTGTTGGATTATTTCAAGCGTAATCCGAACCTTTCGATTCGTGACGTGGCTCTGAAGGCAAAGTGTTCCGCCTGGTTCGTTCAGAAAACCATGAAACGAGCTGGGCTTCGTGTATTCAAGGTCCGGAAGGAACGGAACCGGCGTGATCAACAAAACATAGCGGCCAAATCCCGCGCAAGGAAGCTGTATCGAGAGTGGTTAACGAAACCGATGTGTGTGGTTATGGATGACGAAACCTACATCAAGGCAGACGCAAAGCAGATACCGGGCATGGAGTTTTACGTTGCTAAATCACGGTTTGATGTTCCGGAAGACATAAGGAAGAAGAAAGTGGATAAATTCGCCAAAAAACACTTGCTCTGGCAGGCCATATGACAATGCGGTAAACTGAGTAAACCGTACATCACAATGGGTACAATCAACAGCGAAATTTACCGCACCGAGTTCCTCCAGAAGCGTCTGTTGCCCTTCCTGCGGTCCCACGGAGACGAGACATTATTTTGGCCGGACCTTGCATCATGCCATTATGCGCGATCAACGTTGGATTGGTACAGAGACAATAACGTTGTTTTTGTACCAAAAACCGCCAATACCCCCAAATTCACCAGAGATTCGTCCGGTGAAAAATTTTGGGCCATTATGAAGGCCAAAGTTCGAAAATTGTCCAAGGTGTTTAAGAACAAGCTGGAGTTGAAGAAAGAGTGGATGAAAGTGACCAAAAAGGTCGACTCCACCATTGCAAAAAATGTAATGAGGGGTCTTAAGGGAAAGGTGCGGACTTTCAGCGATGCAAAGGAAATTGAATAAAGTAATTATGCCGAAACATAATCCATATGTGTTAGTTCATTCCCTGAAAGTTTCAAGAAAATCCGACTTAAACTAAATTTGTGGCGAACACTTTTGTCTGGTGCATTTTTTTTTTCGAGTACAGGCCTTATATGGATTAACCGGGAAGAAAACTCTGTCTCTTTCATCCTAATCAGCTCTTACGCGAGAAGTGAAAGTTACGTCTACAATATGGCTACGTAAGAATGATAAGGAGTGAAAAAGAAGCGCGATTTCACATGCCGATCCTTTGTAGATCGAGGACCATCTTCGATAGGACGAACTTGCATCCATTTATAGACTCAATTTGAGTACAGTAGACCGACATTACATCCAGCTACCTGGTAAATTTTAATGTTAAAATGGTGAGATTAAACAATTTTCAGTCGTGCCTAATCAATACCCAAATAATAAGAATATCTAAGCTAACATGTTGACAGTGACATATCGACTGCAGCTTAATTAATATATAAGACTAGCTGAGTGTGCCCGGTCTTGCTCGGGATTCAATATTAGCTTGAGTTTATGCGCCGATTTAAAAAAAAAGCATGCTATATTGTACGTAGCCGCCCCCCTATTATCTAAGGAGCTACCCCCTATGATTATCTCCTTATACCCCCACACTCGCCCCCACATGCCTAATTTGGTTCCATTTGCTTGATTAGTTCTCGAGTTATGCAGAAATTTCTGTTTAATTTGTATGGGAGCCCCCCCCCCCCTTACAGAAGGGGGAGGGGTCTCAAACCATCATAAGAACCTTCTCCGGCCCCAAAAACCCATGCATACAAATTTTCACGCCGATCGGTTGAGTAGTTTCCGAGTCTATAAGAATCAGTAGTTTCCGAGTCTATAAGACAGACAGACAGAAATTCATTTTTATATATATAGATAGATAGATACGGCATAAAATGTAAATAAAGCATTCATATTAGACCGAGGTGAGGAACAGAGCCTGACATATGACATTTTAGTTTGGTACTGTATTATGATAGCTTGTTTTGCAAGTGTTGGAGGCAAAGGCAGTAGATTATCTAAGAAAATGTGTCGACTACCGTGACCGCTTACAAGACTGCTTTAAAGTAATGATGGATTTTTTTATATTTGATTTAATAGTGGTAGTTATAAAAAAGTAAAAAGTATGTACAGGTGTTTGAGCCTCACGTGCGTAATACGGGTATAGAGGACTGAATTTAACATTTCGACAATGAGCATGCAGAAGGGCGTATACGCGATGATCGATTCTCTTCATCGATTTTCTCTTTGCATTGCTACAGCTAAGCGAAACAATTTTCTAGAATTTGTTCAATGCAGCAACAGCAAACACAGCGAGAAACGTAAATTCTTGCGAGTTATTAAGAAAAGAGAAAATCGACGAAGAGTATCGATGATCGCGTTTACGCCCTTATCCATGCTCACTGTCGATTTGATGTAAAAAAAACTTTGAAGCTTATTTGGAAGATGTCTTGAATTAGTAATAAGTGACAAAGGCGCCGAGTATTCGACCAGCAAACTTGTTTGCAATAAATACTGATTCTAAGCACGGATTGTCAATGATTTTACTTGGTTGGTACTGATTTTACTTGTCACCATAATGGATCTAAATATTGTTATTGTTTTGATCATCACTAAGTAAAAATAATAGAAGTTCAACCATGGATACTTTCAACACTATCAAATGTTGCCTCAAGATGACCTTTGTATCCTTTGGACATCAGCCATATCCTCCTTTGTATTGTCGTCAGAATTCTAAATGTTTTGATACACATCACGACTATTTATTGTTGCAATCAGGGACTATACACTGAGGCAAATAAACATAAGAATTTCATAAGGCTCGACCTATGAACGACAATGGCTCTAATATTGGTCTGGGGATCTAAGATTGGGCCCATCGCTAAAAACCTGCTATTTATCAATTCTATATAGATGAACGCGTCATTGAGACGGTGCTAATGGATATTTTTGGTCCCTATTGAAAATTTAGTCGATTGCTGAAATTATGTATGGGCCCAAATTAGGGGCATTTAAGCCAACATTACATCCATTTCCCCAATATGTATGTCATAAGCCTTGAACCATATCATTTCCCCAAGCGTTGAAAGACGAGTGGACATCACACGGTCCCCATTATCTCAAAGTCCATGGTTCGGTTCCAGTCTGCTCCGACTTAATATTTTTTGTCAAAATTATTTTCATAAGGCAAGTCAATTAAATTCATACTGACAACTTGTGGCTAAAATTCATAAGTCTTTCTTATGGAATTCTTTTGTTCATTTGCCTGCGTGTACACTTCCCTAGGGATTTTTACGAGATGAACTACACACTCAAAAATAAATAATTTTACACAAGACGTAATCCATCTTTGACGTAAATTATGGAACGTAAACAAACATGTCATGTAAAATTAAGAGTTCCCAAATCCAACTCGACGAAAAGTACGATTGATTGAGTTTATTTTCTCGTTTCTTTCAACTGATTCTTATGTCATTTGGGCCGCTTGCATGTGTCGGTCTCAGGGCACGGAAATTTACATGACTTTTTGGTAGTGTGTATCTAGGTTGGCCAAATCCTTCAGGGCTTCCGGAACCTGTTCCAGGGACAAGGAGTCATTGTCACTTATAACAAGTACGCTTTTCGTTTATTTAATTATTAAATTTTATTTAGTGGGAGAGAGACAAAGTTAACCAATTCTCCGACAGAGCGTTGGCAAAATCCGTCAGCATCCACCACGTGAACTAACGTGCTTCCGTGCATAACCGACGACCCCCGGCAATCGGCGCTAGTATCAGTACCAATTCGAGGATTCGATTAAGAATTTCCACACCATACCAATCCGGGGTGCAATGCGCAACACCAACACCGATCAAAGGGATGCTTCTGTGCCGATACGGATAAAGCAGCGACGACATCGATGGTACCGTGCGAAAACAAAATGCATGAAAATCTCCACAGACACAAACTCATGAGCTCGAAGACAAGTAAAAAGATAGGCTAGCAATCGCTAGAACCAGATCAGAAAACCGCATACACGATTAGGGAGAGCTAGCAAACAAACAAACATATGGAAAGGAACAAATACGATGTACAAACCTAGGTTAGGAACTCTAATAAATTATATAATGATATCCGTTATTTGCCCCTGAAATAAATGTTGTTTTCGTAAAGTTTAAGCTTTCCATGTAATGTTAATTTCGGTTGACTAGGGTTTTCTCATTTGGCGTGGTTCTATTTTTGTGTTATTTGTTGTGGTATTTTTTTAGAATTTACTCCAGGTTAGACTGCCTGGGAAAACAGTGTCTCACGTGTCACGATCGGTGGATGAAATCTGAAAGGGGAAGTTCCTCCAGTGATGATAAATGTGAGTGGGGTTTATTGTGTTTCGGTAGACCGGCGGCTAGCACCAACTTTCGCTTAAGACTATTTGAAGCAGCCTCTATCTGCGAGGATCTCAATCCCTCATGGGATTTCAGTCTACTGAATCGCCCTCAATGGCCTCCGGGTGGCCATTTTCATTTTTCTCAATTCAATCAAATCAATCTCGGAGATGAACTTTAGATAACTATAGGCTAAAAATCTCCGTAATAAAGAACTAAAAAAAACCTGGAATCTGTTCCAGGGACATAGGGTGACGATTATCACTTTTGTCATTTGGTATAGCAAGTCGCATGGCTAGTTTTAGTTGAAATTAGAGGATGGCCACTTCCTCCGGAACTTCCGGAACCTGTTGTAGGGACGTCGGGTGGCCATTGTCACTCTAGTTAATTAGTATGGTGTCTAATGGCATGTTCATCAATTTCTGAAAATTTTAATGAACTGCACGTCTGGTTCTGATGAAATCTAAGATTGACCACTTCCTCAGAGGTTTCCGTAACCTGTTCCAGGGACTTTGGTTGGGCCATTCTGGGTTTCATGTACGTCATCTTTCAGTTTTTATCTAAACCTACAACTTTGCAGAACATTCTTTGGTTCTATCTTATTGTCTGAGCCTCGCAAAAAGCGTGGGTACCCAGGTACCCCGTCACCCATTTAAGGGGTACATATAGTACATGGCCCCTTATTACAGAGAGACTTTATCGTGCTTTACTTTAGCGTTTTGTCTTTATCGTTGGTTGCTTTATGTGTTTTGATTCTCTGTAACTAACTGATCTGGCTCTTGTACACTGGTTATAACGGGTGTTCAATAAAAAATGAGATTTTTTTCAGTCATGCAGCTAGAAAAAAGAAATTTTCAACGAACTCAGTATTTTTAATAAAAACATAATGTTTATTCTTCATAAAAACGTCAATGAATATTGGAGAAGGGGCCCTGGTCAGCCGTACGACGCAACTGAGTCACGATGCTCTCACAAGAGCGCTGTACGTCACTGAAATCATTCTCATTTTTTATTGAACACCCGTTATGAGATGCAGGTACAGAGAATAGATACGAGTAAAACACTACAAATCTTCCTACGTTCGTTCACACGACTATTCGGTACGATGAAAAGAAGAGATAAATAATAACTTAATCGAGAGATATTTATCTACTCTAGTACTGCTCGATTATAGAGAGCATGGGGCTTAACAGATGAATTCAATGTTATTTCAATGCTAAATATTTAGTAACTTTAGGTGAAATTTTAGTAAACAAAATTAGAAAAATAAATTGATCCATTTATGTACGAAGTAAGTTTTATTTCAATATCTTACAAATGATCTAAGGAAAACGAGAATTGGACGTAAAATGACAGATATATGAATATCACACATTTGCATACTATTTTGGTGGTGACCTCAAACTTATGATCGGGAGTTTATATAAAATTAACGACCAAGAAACATCTTCAATCCACAACTGCATCTGATCGTTGTAAACGTTATTCGCTTATCTTAAAAACTACAAGGGACAACCCTATGGGGTTGTACGCAATGGTGACGTAGGACTACGTGGTCTTCTATAATAAATGGTAATGTGTATCTTTATTCAGCCACCATATTTTAATTATTTTCCTTACCTCATTTTTATATTTTCATTTTCTGTTCTATTTACTATCGTACAGATTTGTCTGGAATCTGATGAAATATTGCTTGGAGCCAATGCCCATGATTGTGCTGGGTAATTAAAATTTATATTCAACAGATTGCGTTCAACGTATCCACATCGTATAATGTCCGCATCAAGCAGATCGCTCGTAAGTCCACCGGAGGAAATACTCCTCTCAAACAGATGGCCACCGGAGGAGTGAAGAAGTCCCATCGCTACCGGCCAGGAACTGTCGCTCTGCGTGAGATCCGTCGTTACCAGAAATCGACCGAACTGCTGACTGCAAGTTGCCTTTCAAGCGTCTGGTCCGTGAAATCGCCCAGGACTTCAAGACCGATCTGCGCTTCCAGAGCTCGGTCGTTAATGGCCCTACAGGAATTCAGCGAGGCCTATATGGTCGGTCTGTTCGCCATCCACGCCAAGCGTGTCACAATTATTTTATGTCCCATTTTCGGTTTTCACAAAGTGTACCTCCATATAGAAATCACCGACGTCAAAACCGTACGGTCGTGTAGTGTAATGGATACAACCTCTTATTCTTTTTGTCAACATTATTTTCATAAGGCAAATCAACTGATTTCTTATTGCGAACTTTGCTAACGCTCCTTTCGAACATTTAAAAGTTCAATAAAATCATCAAAACCTCTTTCACGTTGGAAATCGATTTGTGGCCCTGAAAAGGGCCGATTGATTGTTTGGATGGTACGAATCTACTTTGAGCTGGTGTACTTGATGACGACCTTGGTTCCTTCAGAGACAGCGTGCTTGGTCAACTCACCAGCAGCAGACGGACCGCAGTTTGGATTTCGTGGGACGTGATCGTCGAGCGTTTGTTGTATTGAGCCAGACGGGACGACTCAGCAGCAATACGTTCGAACATGTCATTGACGAAGCTGCTCATGATGCTCATGGCCTTCGACGAGACTCCGGTGTCCGGGTGGACCTGCTTCAACACCTTGTAGATGTAGATGGCATAGCTTTCCTTCCTACACGGTCTCTTCTTCTTCTTCTCTCCCTTGACGATGACATTCTGCGCCTTTCCAGACTTCTTAGGGGCTTTCCACTGGTTTTCGGTGCCATGATGAAATTGTTCACTTCGGAAGAGAATAACTGATAGTCATTTCGACGTTGCTGTCTCATTTTGTGCCCGTAGCATAAGAAGCGAAACTCCTCCCCTTTTCAGTATTTTGCTGTATGTATTGTTCCCTCCCTGTATTAAAAATATGCTACTCGACGCAGGTATAAGTATACCCTCGACGAGTGAAATAAACCGACCGCTTTTTCTCTGCTTGAACGTCAAGCAGTACAGTTCGGTCTTTGCTCGCTCTGTCGAGTTGTTCTAAAGTTTCTAGTTTGTTCCAAACATTCGCAGTTTAATCGCGTCGTCAGTAGTGTCGGTCGCTTCGTGTGATGGGAAGACAGCGCTCCCGGAGCAGGCTCCGAGAGAAAACGGAGAAGAAGAACAGCGGTGAGGGTAGCTTGAGTGTACCTATTTCGAATAGGTACGCTACTCTTCCCACCGATGTAGGGAATCCCACCTCAGCCACGGTGAAGCGGTCTAAGAAGAGGAAGAAAAATCAAGGCCAGTCCGATGGTGCGAGTGGACGGGACGATGCCACCGCGACGAACGTCAGCGTCATTGGTGATTTTGCCGACGCCGTCGACAACGAAACTGCTGCCACCCCGAGTGCAGCAAAAATGAAGCTTCCTCCACTGGTGGTGAAGCAAGTCCCACTCAACACGCTGATTGGCGATCTTTCATCGCTGGGCGTTGCAGCTGAGTTTAAGCTCGGCAGGATCGGCACCAAGGTGATGCTCCGAACAAAAGCGGAGTACGAAGTGGCCGTGAAACATCTGAAGGATACCAAGGCGGAATTCTTCACGCACGACATCCCCGGTGAGAAGCCCTTCAAGGTAGTCATCAGGGGTCTACCAAACTTCGACCCCAAGATGGTCGAAGCTGAAATCAACCGGTACAAGCTTGCCCCAATCGCTGTCTTCCGAATGACAAGGAGAGACGAAAACGTGAAGACGTACCCGGATTGTCTTTTCCTGGTGCACTTCCAGAAAGGGACAGTGACGCTCAATGCGCTACAAGCCATCCGATCAATCTGCTCCATCATCGTACGGTGGGAGCCATACCGTGGCGGCCATCGTGACGTAACGCAGTGTCAGCGGTGCTTCAATTTTGGACACGGTACCCGCAACTGCAACATCAAGCTACGCTGCAGCAACTGCGTGTTCCGACAGACAGTGCTCCAAACGCGAGGACTTCAAACGCATCTGAAAGCAGGCGTCAAGCATCAATCAACCAGGACGCAAGAAGGACAAAACCCCATCATTCAGGACGGAGGATTTTCCGCCTCTTCGTGCTCCCCAGCAAAGGCAAGCGAATTCGCGGGTGCAACCCGCCCCCCCTCAAGAAGCTTCCGGTGATTTTGCTGGCCAAAGCTCTCCATCCCCCCCTGGATTCTGGAGACAACCAACAGCGCAAAACAACAACCCCGATCTGTTCTCAGCGGATGAACTGATGGAAATTTTCGTCAACATGTCCGGTGCTCTTCGTAAGTGCCGCAATAAGCCCGAACAGATCCAGGTGCTCGGTAAGTTCATCATCCAGTATGGCGTCTAAACCGCTAACTATCGTCACCTGGAATGCTTGCTCTGTAAGAGCAAAAGAGATTGAGCTTGCTGACTTCCTCCGCAAGCACAGCATCGACGTGGGCCTTCTAACCGAGACCCATCTAAAGTCCGGCGACAGCTTCTGGTTGCCTGACCACAACATTATCCGGCTTGATCGCACCAGCTCCAGGGGGGGTGGTGTTGCGGTCGTCGTCAAGAAAGGAATAAAATACCACACTCTGTCCCATATTCGCACCTCTATCATCGAGGCCCTTGGTGTGGAGGTGGAGTCGTCGACTGGATACGTCCAGTTCATCGCCGTCTACTGCCCTCGACAGTGTGCCGCCAGCAGTGGACTAGCGGCTAAATTCAAGAAGGACCTGTCCACCATCACCCGTACCGGTTCCCGCTTCGTAGTTGGAGGAGATCTGAATGCTCGCCATGAGGCCTGGCGGAACTACCAGCAGAACCAGAACGGTCGTCTGCTGTTCGACCATTCGCAGCATGGGCTGTACTCCGTTTGGTTCTCGGACGAGCCAACATTCATCTCACCGGCAGGCAACCCATCGACGCTAGACCTGTTTCTTTCAAATACCGGCTTGTCCAAACCGGTAGCCTTAAACGAACTCAGCTCCGACCATCAACCGGTGGTGGCTGAACTGGGATACAACGTAGCTGCTGCTCCAAGCCTGCGCAAGGACTACCATCGCGTAAACTGGGCCCAGTTTGGACGCGTGGTAGACAGGCACATCATCGACAACCCGCCGCTGAGCGGTTCCACGAACAAGTGGGAAATTTTTCCAGTTTTTATTTTTTGTATTTTTTGATTTGCATGAAACCTTGCATACAAGTTTTTGGGGAAGAAAAACGCCGTTTTGCATACTTGGTTCGCCATTTTGAATCTAGCCTTACTTATGAGAAGGGCCTATGAAAAATGCACATGATATCTTCAAAAAATTGTATCTTGGAAACGGTTTGTCCGATTGGTTTGGTGTCTTGCGCGAAGTTTTAGACAATTGTTGGTGGTATATGGAGAAAATATGCACGGTAAAAAAAAAAGTTTGGTATTTGTGTTTTGAACTAAAATATAAATTTTCCCTTTAAAGTGACATGTCAATAATTTTTTTATTATCCTTATTTTATAGCTGACTGAAAATGCTATCTAGTGCACAGTAGGTTGTTCTGGAGAAAAATAGGTTACGATGAAAAAAAATGTTTTTTAAAAAAATACAATTTTCAAAAAAAGCGATTAAGAAAAGTCAAAAAAGTTTGTCACTCTAATTTTATGAAAGTACATCAAATTTTCAAACAAAAAGTACCTGGGTAACATTTTTCTAAGATGCACCGTTTAGAAGATATTACTGATTTAATATTGTTTTTTTTTTGATAACTTAATAAGTTTTGGCCCTTTTCGGATGTACTCCGTGTTTTTCCAGTTTCAAAAGTATTTTTTTCGGAAAGATTGGAAAATTTTGAGTTAAAATGACACTGACAGCTTAAAGATTCGAGTGAAATTCTCTGCCTTAAAAGTATTTTGAAAAACAAGTTACAAAATCCCACTATCAGGAACAATGATTTCTTCAAATGATTTTTGGTGCGTTGTGCTGAAAACGTGCTAGCAAGTATTAGATACAGGTAATCAGATACCAGTTAGCTGTACTACGTACAGTTGGTGATTGTAAACATGGTCTTTGTTGGAACTAGTCCACCATGGCCACGCTGGCCATAACGAGGCTAGCTCCGTCGTTGACCGTTCCTTAATAATAAATAAAAAGAACGCAGTAGTCAGCTTCCATCAAACTAGAGGGCTGCCGACTGATACCTCAATCAACAACCGCCGCACTCTTTATTCATTCCAGGTATATACAATTTACAATCTTCTTCAATAACAATATACCTACGCCAGCAAATCTACCTCGCTCCAACTCTCCAAACTCGTACCTGAAGGTTCGACGATACCTGAGCGTTCAACTCTACCTATCTTCCAACAGTCTTTACCCAGCATTCTATGATTTCTACCCGGGAGCTGTATAATAATGTCTGACTCGGTTCTGAATTCATCCAGTATCTACTAGGGAAAACCAAACAGTAAATGCAGTTGCTAGTAGCATAGTGATTATAGTAATTTCAGCTCATAATCCTGTGTTTTTGAACGAGATCCAGTGTTGTTTGATAACATAATAATTGTAAAGGAAAGTGTAACACGTTTTGGTGCAAAGGTAAGTTTTAAATACACATTTTAATTATATGTTTTGTGATATTTTCGTACAAAACTAACAATTGGAAAATATTTTCTATGTTACAGATTACAAAATGAGTAAAATAAGATGTATTCGCCCATTCAAAGACATTCAGTGTTCGAAAGAGCTGCGATATCTCACGGATGATATCATCCAAAAACTAAAATCAATTGGATTTTCCAAGGTATCCACACTGAACACCAAGGATTTTCGTGTTTGTTCGTCTTGCCGTCTACATATTGATTCAAGAGCTCACCTCACCCAAAACGAGGAACAAAGCGTAGCCGGCGGCTCAAGGATGCCAACTATTGAAAGTTTGGTCACGATACCATCAGAGTCAACGCTAAGCACAATTAAATCAAATGAAGACTTCACGATGCCTGTAGACGTCGAAATATTCAACCGAGGAATAGCAGCTATTCGTGTTTCGCCTATAGATTTAGGTAAGGTTAAAAATGTTCACTATCCTGAAAAAAAGTGCGCTGAAATCGTCGAAGGTGTACGAAGAAATCTTTTTAAATTAGACGCTAAAACAGAAAAAGCAAACGAGTTTGATGAAGTCATAGAAAATATGAAAATTAAATTTTTAAATTCAGCCACAAGGCAAGAAAAACTATCAATTTTATCATTGTTGCCAAAATCATGGTCAGTACAAACAATTGTAGACGAATTTAAAACCAGTAGAAATATGGCATCAGATGCAAGAAAGGAAAGAGATAATGTATTTGATTCATCTCAAGGTTCAAGCTCTGGAAAAAGCTTTGAGTAATGAAACAAAAGAACTGGTTTTGAATTTTTTTGAGGACGATGATATAAGCCGTGCAATGCCAGGCCAAAGAGATTTTGTTAGCGTAAAGACAGGAAATAAGAGATTAGCTGTTCAGAAAAGATTGTTAATGATGACATTGAGAGAAGCTTTTAATCGCTTTAATGAAATGTACGTCAATGTAAAAATAGGGTTTTCATCATTTGCAAATTTGTAAAAACCGAACAATCCAATTTTTTGAAAACTACAAAACAAAACTTGCAAGATGGTGAATTTTTAGCTATTTGTGACTTTTCTGAAAATTACAGCTTCGTTTTGCAGGATGAAGTTCAATCACACCAGTGGAACGTGCAACAGGCCACAATCCATCCTTTCGTAATATATTATACTGAAAATATGCAAATTAAACATTTTAGCTTCATTATAATTTCTGAA